GGGCCCCGCGGCTCCGGCTGCGGAGACCTCCGGGGAGGATGCTCCCCGGGGCAGTTTCGGGGAGCGGTGGGGGCTGGAGAAGAGGTCAGATGGACACGGCCGCTCGGGGAAAGCGGCGTTGTGGGGAAGGAACTGCTGACCCGGAGGGTGAGCGCGGGGGACCTGCCGGGCGAGCGGGGGCCCTTCCGCCGCCCGAGAGGGACGGGGCCACGGACAGTGTGTGGCCCGACGCGCGGCGTCCAGGGCGCGGCGGAACCCTGGCGTCGCTGGGCTCTGAGTTCCTCATAGGAACTCAGCGCTTTCACTTTGTCCGAGGAGAAGTGACTTTGCAGCTGTAACCTGGAGGGCAGGCTTCGTGTAAAGACGGTAGTTTCAGTCCCTCCCCCTTGTTCCTGCAGCGGGGGACTGTGCGCGCGCGCCTGTGTTCGCGCGCGTGTGTGCGTGCGTGCACATGTATGTGCATGCGCGCATGTGTGTGTACGCGTGTGTGTGGGTGCACATGTGTGTGCATGCGCGCATGTGTGTACGCGTGTGTGCGCGTGTGCGCCTGCGCAGGGGATGGCAGCTAGCGTGGGGCCGACCTTTGCACGGCTCTCTCTGGGTCTTGAAGAAGGGTGGGTACCCGGCAGGCCGTTTGGATGCCTACACTGTCTGATACGGGTAGGATAACCGGCAAGTAGTAACTGGGTACAGCTTCAAAAGATTACAGTTGAGTTGAAGAATTTAATATTCTCTAAACTTAATACAATTTAGAGAATTGAATATCAGTTCCCATAGTTTCAGTGTCAGTTACTGGAGTTGAGGAGAGAGGTGGGCGGGATAGACAGCAGGAGCCAGCGGTCCTGAGTGCAGCCTAGGACCCAGGGTCAGAACTGTTTACCTAACAGTACTAAGATGTTATCTATCTATTCCCATTCTCTTCCCAGGGTACAGTGAGGTTTTCTAGGGGTAACATGATGTGTGGTAAGACAGACTGAATACAGAAGCAGAGATGAGAATCTCGCTGTTTTTTATTAATCCTGAAATGAAACAGATTTGTAAAAAATAGTTAAAAATCCCATTTTTCTCACTGTTGGGATTTAGCTACTTTTTATAAAGACATGCTATCCGTATTAACATTAAAAGACTTTTAAATGGTTATTTTAATGAATCAATATTTAAAATTTTACCTGTTTTAATATGACACAGTAAATACCAGTAGATATACCTATAACCAGTGGGTGGGTGGGTGGTCACCCGGGAGCAGGGAGGTCTTAAGAGCAGGAGACAGAGAGTAGGTATCATGTACCTTGATTCAGCCTCTCCTGGGTTGTGACTGTGTCAGAAGATGGAGCAGGAATGTCCTGTTTGATGATGAGCATCAGGTCTGGCTTTGAGCTTGGGAAAGTGAGATTCTCAGTACTGCCCTGAGGATTTTCATTGCCTAAGAGGAGCACTGAGGTAACTGCTTTGTTCCTGAGGAGGGGTGGGGTCAAGTCTGATTCTCAGGTTCTTGGCAAAGTTAATTGATTAAGATCATTCTTTAAATAAAGAAGTTTTGCTCTGCTGCCCCCTCCTGGATCTGCCTGAGTAATTCTTCCCTGGTGGTCAGTTAGTGCTGGCGGAATCCCACTGAAATCCTGCAGCTCATCTGCAAGGGAAAACCCCCCAAATGAACAGAAAAGGAAATCAAGGTAAAATGCAGAAAGAAATTAAGCCAAACCAAAATATATACAGAATTAATTTCCCAACTTTTTATTTTGAAAATTTCTAACCTAGAGAAAAATACAGTGAACAACCGTGTATCTTTTATGTGTGTGTGTATTTTTAACTTTCCATTTCTAAAAATGACACTTTTCTAATCCCAATACCATGATCACATCTTTGAAAATGGACATTAGTTAAATATAATGAATATACATGTATTTTTAATCCTCACCTGAGGATACTTTTTCAGAGAGAGTGGAAGGGGGAGAGGGAGAGAGAGAAACATGATTTGAGAGACACATATGAACTGGTTGCCTCCCACACACGTCCTGACCTGGGGCAGGGATCAAATCTGCAACCCAGGTATGTGCCCTTGAGTGGAATCCAACCCACGACCCTCTGGTGCTCAGGCAGACACTAACCATTGAGCCACACTGGCCAGGGTATAACAGTCTCTTTTAAGTTGATGGCTCCTTAAGTTCAAACACATTCTAAAATCACTACAACTTTTACTCAACCTCTCCATGTTCATGTTTTTGTCCATATATATTTTACCTCGTTGGTGTGTGTCTCCCTTATTGTAATTACATATGATCTTTCCACTTTTTCCTTTTAACTGTCTTTATAGTTGTTGATCTAGTGCTTTTCTAAGTATTTGCCTTTGTCAGTGAAAATTTTTTCTTTCCTGTATTTTCTTACTCATATTTTTTATCTTTTCTTCTTAAAGAAGTCCCTTTAACATTTCTTGTAATACTGCTTTAGTGGTGTTGAACTCCTTTAGCTTTTCTTGTCAGGGAAACTCCTTTGATTCCAAATGATGGCCCTGCTGGGTGCAGTAATTTTGGTGGTAGGTCTTTGCTTTTCATCACTTTGAATATATCAAGACAGTCCCTCCTGACCTGAAATGTTTCTGTTGAGAAATCAGCTGACAGTCTTAGGGAGCTCCTTTGTAGGTAACTAACTGCTTTTCTCTCACTACTTTTATGAGTCTCTTTGTCTTTATCACTTAGCATTTTAATTATGACGTGCCTTGGGTGGGCCTCTTTGGGTACATCTTGTTTGGGACTCTCTGTGCTTCCTGGACTTAAGTCTGTTTCCTTTGCCAGGTAGGGGAAGTTTTCAGTCATTATTTCTTCAAGTAAGTTTTCAGTCCCTTTTTCTCTCTCTTCTTCTGGTTCCCTTATGTTGTGGACGGAGTTCTTTAGTCACAGGCAGAACCTACTGTAAAATAAAACTCAGGGTCAACCATACCACTGTGACAGCTGTTAGAATGCTACAGGTACACAACTGGCTACGTGACCATTATATTTGAGTGGTGAGCAAATGTGCAAAATACTGCCGTCATTGGGAAAATAGTGACTAACAGAAACTCAGGAAAATTGCCACGTAGACACAAAATGGCTGTGAACCCAGTTATTCAGTGATGTTTCTCATCTCACAGGGTTGGACCAGCTCCTTTCTGATTTTGATCATGTGAGAAACTACTGCTGAGCAGAAATACTAGGATGAAGTGGAAACAGCAACCACCACAAGGTAGGATCTGAGACTGAAACTGCGCTACCGCAGCTGAGTGAGCCGTGAGCAGCAGAACTGCAGCTGGAGTGAAATTTGTTTGCTCGTCTACAGATGGAGTCTAGTCACTGTGCTCCAGTGTGTGCCTGACACATTGGTGAATACGTCTTCATTGTCCTTCTACAAGTTTAACTTAGGGGGACAGATTTTATGCTTTTTAAAAATGTCATATTACATCAAGAGTTATGTGAATAGAATCAACTGAATTTTACCTGCTGCCTGGGAACTATGGGATATTTATGTGGACGAATATAACGCAGACGGTCAGGGAGAAAGAACTCAGGAATGAATGGTTGTGGACTGAACGAGACTGAAGGAACAGGGCAGCTAAAAGCAGCGTGATCTTGGTTTGGCTCGTGTTGCTCTAAGGGACACACCTGGGCAGCTGGCACAACCCGAGTGGGGCCTCTGGGCAGAGGGGAGATAGTTCTTCATTGTGTCCTCACAACCCCTTCGTAAGTGTGAAATTATTTCAAAATAAGTGAAAGTAACAACCTTTGTTTAAAAACTTTTATTTACTATAAAGACAAAACACCAAAATAGGTACAAATACTATAAAATTGGTTCAATGGGGTAAAAATTTTAATTAAAATATCTTGATATATTTAAAATAACAAAGGATACATTTAAGCCAAATTTTCTTAACCCAGAGATTTTTTTGTAACATTTGCTTACACAGTAAGGTGCTAAGAGAAGTTAGCCCTTAAGCCCTGGAAGTCTTAGGGATCATAGTCACACAGCAAGTACAATTTCATTGTGAAAGTGAGCTTTGGTAGAAGAATCTATAGGACCCTGAGGTAGCAGAAACTGGAATAAACAGCAGTAGGCGTCATTCACAACTCGAGTACCGAACATTAGGGCACAAAACAAGCACACAATACAATCTTCAGTCCAGCTTTGACCCAAAGAAAATAAGAATATTACATCACATTTGCATTGAAAACAAAACAAAACACCACAATTACCAGCAAGCTGAGGGAACTGCAGACAAACTCAAACAGTGGGTCTCGACAAATAGCGGCTGTCTGAGTCTGCACTGTGTGGGCACGGTGATCTAGAGTAATACTGATTCGCTGAGGTTCCTCAGTGTACAGTTTACATGGCTGTCAGACGCAGACTAATCTGACCAGTGATCTTCCAGTAATTAAATGGCAAGAGTGCATCCTTTAAAGCCTGCACACGACTCGAAACAATCTCATTAGAACTGTGAAAATTCCAAGTAGTCAAAAAAAGAGAGGAAATAAAAAAGAAAGTCAAGTACAACACATTTAGAGCTACCAAACTTCACATTTCAGCACTATTTTTAACTCTTCAAATATTGCCAATCTTCCAAAACAAAGGAATGTAAAATTTCACGGAAACACGTTCACATTTAAAAACTGCCTTTTAAAAATTATATGCAATATATCCCTGTAAACTTGTAAGTTATTTTACTTCCAATTTGTGTTGTACATTTAAAATGTACTCTGTATAGCTTATTTAGTTTATCCTGAGTCTTTGAGAAGAACCAATTCTATTTCATCCTGCAACGGTTCAGCTGGCTTCTGAAGAGTTAAAACTTGACATCTCAAAAGTTGTGTAAAATACTCAGTCAGTACTTGATTTAGAGACTCACGAAAGAGGAGGAAAGAGCTGCCATTTTCCTTCCGGATTCCACACGTCCGAATTCAACTGAGACGAAAACCATTAGGTAATTGTGTAAAATCCAGTGAATTAGTGTGTAAATGAAATTCAGTTTCACTTTTCTATGAGCACATTTTCCAAGTTCCAGGGAAACTTATAGTTTAGAAACACCATTACTCATGGGTGGCTGAGTAAGGAGGTTAGTTTTCCCCTCGTTCCCACCAGGGCCTCTGTGGAGAGAAGGAAAACAGCAGCTCGGTGCTCGCGCCAGCATGACATCTGTCAGAGTGAGGCGCAAGCAGTGAGGCTTCCTACAGACACAACCAACACGCCACAGAAACGCAAATGGATCTCAAGGTAATGCTGATCTTGGCTGCGGCTGTCTCACAGAATAGTGGTTTTTCACTGAATTTACATTGATTTTGCCCAAGAAGAGCAGTGATGGGCTCCATGAAGGTAGTAGTAAAACCCATTTTTAAAAACAAACAGAATTCTGTATTAAAAAACTCTTGCCACAGCAAGATAGTCAATAAACACTAGTTCACATCTAGTTCTACTTTTTTCTGGTTTGAAAAGATCACCTTTCCCTGAATATTAAACAAAAATGAAGGTGAAATGAAAATACAGAACCATAATTTCCAAAACGAAATGAATGGGCCAACAGTAAAATGCACAGTGAACCACAACTGCCCAGCTTTTAAAAAATAAAGGTCAACTGTGGGTCATAAAGAAGTCATCAACTTTAAAAAACATTTATTTACTGCTACTCATAGCCTATTCTGACCTAAAGGAGGCAGATACTGATTTGTAGAGCCAGTGACGAAAAACTGAGTGGAATGCAGAACCCCTGCTGCGGTCAGGACATGAAATGGAAGAAGAGTTGAAACAGTGAAACAGATCCTGAGCCCCTCAGCTGCTAATGTTGCTGAAAAAGTGCTCCAAAGCAATAACAAGAAAACTTTGCTCCTGTTAACTAGTCATGCAAACTTCACTGCTCCTGCTCACCTTGGGCAGGTCCCTGAAAGGCACGGTGTGCAGTCCTGCACAGGTGTGGCTCTGCAGACTCAGCTTAGGTACAGACCATGATTTGTCAATCACATACTTAGGTAAGGTTCCCCACCGGGCTCGTTCATAGCTGTTCAGTGGCGGGAAGGCCAGTGGATTATCAACGTGGTTCCCACTACAGTTTTTCTCTTATTGAACATCCTGTCTCCGCTAGAGTTTGTCTGCATAGCTGGCTACCACGTCGTGCGGAAGACGGGATGCTTCAGTAGCTCTCTCGACGGAGGTCTGTCCTGAGGTTGAAGTTCTAAACAGCGAAGAGCCACGTCCCGTAACCCGGGAGACAGGTGGGAAGGGATCGATGGAGCAGTTGTTGCACTTGCGATCTGTGGAAGAAACACCAGGCTGAAGCTTTTCACACAGGACTCCTGACAACACAGGTGCCGTGTGCAGAGTTCTTGACCTCGGCACGAGCTCTGTGCAGGTGGGACCGACACTAACAGGATGTGAGGCAGAAACTCGCCACTGGATGGGAGGATTCCTCTAAGAACCCTTCAAACTTCAGGCTTTTAGAATTTGATCAAATGCACCCTGATCACGTGGATCCACTCTGTCCCTTACTATCCAAATGAACTAGGCCCCAAGTGCATCCACCAATCAGAGAGGTGAAGTGCTCACGCAGTGAACTCGCATCCCTCACTCATACTCTAGGATGCTCTGTCCCCACTGCCTTTGCACAGTTTCTACTGTCTCAGCACAGAGAGCATTTACAGAGGAAGCTAAACCCTGTGGGTCACTTCAGAACATTGGAGGCACACCGCCCTGGTTTCATCAGGTAGCTGAGGAGGTTCTCTAGGTGCTGGGGGGCAGGAAGAGGCTGTGTGACGGGAGGGGGGTCAGTTTGTGCTGGGGCCTTTACTCAGGTCTAGAGCCCATTCTGCTTGTCCTTATGACAGTCCCGTGAAGTAGGTGCTGTTATTACACCCAGTTGATAACAACAGGGGCAGATAGATGAGTGATTTTCTAGTCTCATGGCTGCTACAGGATGGAGCCAGGCTTGGAAACTGAGTCTATACGACTCCAAAGCCCAAGCTTTCACCAAGCTCATGTCTGTCTCAAAGCTAAACATCTGAACCGCTGTACTGATCTCTGGTGGAAATGAAGAGAGTGGATTCAAGTTGTCAGAAAGGTAGACAGGATTTGGAAACTGACTTGTGTGAGTTTTTAATCTTTTAAATTGATTTCAGAGAGCGGGAAAGGGAAGGAGGGTATCGATTTGTTGCTCCACTTATTTACGCATTCATTGCTTGCTTTTTTATGTGCTCTGACTGGGGATCGAACCTGCAACCTTGGAGCACTGGGACGATACTCTAACTGAGCTACCTGGCCAAGGCAAAGGTTTTTTTGTGTTTTTTTTTAAACATATCTTTATTGATTTCAGAGAGAGGAAAGGAGGGGGAGAGAGAGAGAGAGAAACATCAATGATGAGAGTCATTGATCGACTGCCTAGCCTGCAACCCGGGCATGTGCCCTGACCAGGAATCGAACCCCGATCTCCTGGATCCTAGGTCGATGCTCAACCACTGAGCCATGCCCAGCCGGGCAAGGTATTTTTAAAATATAGTAAACTGGAGTTTAAAAACAAAATGTGTGGACTGTGTACAATATATGAAAAGCTTCAAGTTTTTAAATGTGGAAGTTTGACAGGGATATTTATTGTACATATTTCAGCCAGGAGCAATGGTTCTAATAATTCAGTGTCCACAGCAATGTTAACAGGACATAACTGCAGGGAGGAGCGAGGCCTGACTGTCCATGTGCCAACACTGGCCATACCACAGAGTGCCCTGAAGATGTGACACAGTTACTTCAGTTCAGTAAAGACACACCTTCTTGTGAGACTGAAAGCTGAGGAGAGCCCATGAATGAATGCTTCCTGCCAACTTTAGCAGAAAGAAACAGTTTCATCTCATTGTTACCTTAAATATCAGAGCGAGATGATTGGAGTGCTTCTCTGCATTCCAGGGCGGCTTAGCACAGGCCATCTCTATGATGGCACAGCCCACGCTCCACACGTCGCAGCTCCTCCCATACTGCTGGCCTCTCAGGACCTATGAGAAGACAGGTTTCATTAAAGAAACAGAAAACCACTCCGTAGGTACAGAGTCTAGTTTCCTACTTCAGAGCAAAACAAAGGTAGAAGCAGCATCTTCATGTACTTCCAATGTCTCATTCATTAACAAGCTCAACCTCCTATGTGGCACAACAACATTTGGGAGAATTGTGAGATTCTGAAGAATCCCATGGAGTCACAGTGCTTAGTAAACTGTGGGCAAGGGGGTGGCCAAGAATCATGTGCATGAACGTGGGGAGTTCTGACCACAGTAGCAGAGCCGAGGTCAGAACCGCGCAGCTCAACCTGCTGTTTCCCTACGCTCACCTCCCTTTCCACAGAACAACGTGAAAACTTCCTAACGTGCGCACTTCAGGGTTACTACAAAACAACCGTTATAACTTGCCCAAGTCTTTGTTAGGAATAGCCTTTAAGCAACTCTATTAAAACCAATCACTTAAAGTTTTTTTAAGACAAAGATGGAAAGGTAGGGAGTAAGGGTCTGAAATCAGGCATGTCATTAAACCTGTTTTTAAGGCCATGGGCTTCTGACTGGTAAGCTCAAACTGGATAACACTGCATAGAGAACCCCCAAATATGTTCCTCCATCACCCTCACAGCCGCATCTCACCTCGGGTGCCATGAACGCAATGGTCCCCAGTAACTGTCCCTGAAACTCTCCAGCACCAGTTCCTTTTGATGCCAACCTGGCGGCAGCTCCAAAATCAGCAATTCTCAGCCTCTGACCTGTGCTGTCAATGAGCAGGTTGGCACCTGGGACAAAAACAGCAAGCAATCATGCAGGTTAACCACCAAAGAGCAGACTCCACACTCAGTAAAACACTACAAATGAGACAGGACAATGGCAGGAGAGAGATGGGCTTGGGGTCAGAGGTCCAGAGGTTACTGCCCCTCGATTTGCTTTGCTATTGCTGCAGGCACACAGGTCTCTACGGTGTGTAATATAAAAAAACTCTAAAGCCCCAGCTCAGAGGGAACGTCTGACAGAGCATCAGGCACAAGGAGATGAAGGCAGAGATGTAGTGAGACTCTAAAGTGTTGAACCTTTACTAGAATGATCCCAACAAAAATATTTCTTCAAAGTTCACATTTTAGTGTAATTTACATTTAAGACAAAGTTCTGTTGAAGCATTATAACCTGGACCAATTCAAACTACCATAATTACAGCTTAATAAAAAGTTAATGGAATTAAGTTACTTGAATTCATGATGTCAAATACGAATCCATTATGTCAAATACTAGATACAGACATTCATGTCAGAAAAATCAAAGTTGCCATTAATCGAACTGCAAGAGATGGGAAAAGATTTTTCTTAAAAGTTTATAATATCGCAATTATTCTGAATAGAACCAGGAACAGGAACTTTCAGGGAGGCAGTATAAAATCAGGACAGTGAACTGAAGACCTGGATCCTATACCTGGTCTACCGTCTTGGCAATAAGAGTGCAGAAAAGTCACAGCCCCTCTGAGGAGTAAGATCATGTGACCCCAAAGTCCCTTCACTTATAGTGACTGGAGTGACTCGGGAGAAACAGCTTTCTAGTTGATTTCACATAGAAACTATCAGAAAAGGTTCAAGTTTTAAAATTACATTTGTTTTCTACTTATTGCTAATGAGTAATAATGAAGAATCCCCCACCTTTGACATCCCTGTGGATGATCTGGTTTTCATGGAGATACGAGAGGCCGCGGAGTAATTGCTCAGTGTAGTTGATAACCACGGACTCCTTGAAGGCTCCGTATTTACTGAGCAAATGTGCCACAGATCCCCCTATGAGACAAACATAAAACAATAGTTGCTAGAAACTTATGCCAGAATTAAAATTATTGATTACACTTGGTTTCATAAGGTTGCACACTATGAGCTCACATTCACATCTGAAATGTCCATTTATGCTCTGCACCACAAGTGAAACTGACTTAAAGACATATGTTTAAATAATCTCGAACCTGTTATTTAGGAGACATTTTCATGGAACCCTCATGAACTCATTTTCTGAAAGGTCAAGATTCCAGAAATCTTTAAAATTTAACCATTTTGGCTGGGACAGTTTCTGAAATGTGTAATTCACCTCTGTCTTTTTGACCAAGATATACAATGTGCCTTTCGTCATCACTTAAGTAAACAGTGCTAACAGGCTATTTAGCAAAAGGTAGAGAGAACAGGAGGAGCCAGAAGACCCTAAGTTAGGCTGGATATCCTACTACGTATTAGCTATGTTTTGGGGCAAGTCACAGACTCAGTGAGCATCATTTGAAAGTATTTATAATCATCAACCTAAGTATAACAATTAACCCAACTATAACCAATGTCAGAGAAGGCACTAAAAGAACTGATCTGTAGAGGTGAAGGTGGAGACCCTGGGCTCACCTCCTCACATGGGTCACCAAAACCACAACTACACACAGAGCTACTGCTACTGAGAATGACCTGAAGACCAGGTGAGCAGGATTTCTACACCCCAAGACATAAAAATGAAACACTGACACAAGTAGGAGGGGCAGAAACATGGTCCGATTAGGACCCAGACCCCAAGTTTGCTGATTCACAAGTGGGAGTGGTATCACAGCCCTTTTGGTAGTCCTGAGGGGAACTGCACCAGGAGGATGAGCCTCCCCTCTACCCCCTATTATGGGAAACACAGCCAGTTAGCCTGAGGGTGTGCCCACAGCAGTCACGGCCCAACTACAACAGGAGGGTGCATTCAACCCACCCAGGGGATACCCTGACTGGTGACCAAAGGGGATTGTGTACCAGGCCCCACCAGACACCCTCTACATAGACCGCTCTTATAAAACTGGGAGGTGCAGCTGATCTACCTAATACAGAGAAACACAGAGAGATAGGTAAAATGAGACAAAGGGATGTCTTCCAAATGAAAAAACAGCAAAACCCCAGAAAGAGAGCTAAATGAAATAGATAAGCAATCTACCAGATAATGAATTCGAAGCAGTGGTTATAAAGATGCTCAATGAACTCGGGAGAATGGATGAGCCAATCAGAACTGAAATGAAATGAAAAGTACACTGGAGGGAACCAGCAGATTAGATGATGCAGAAGAGTGAATCGGTTATCTGGAGGATGAGGCAATGGAAATCGCTCCATCGGAACAGCAAAAGGAAAAAATAAATTTTAATGAGGATAGTTAAGGGACTTTTGGGACAACATCAAATATTCTAGCATTCACATCTTAGCAGACCCAGAAAAAGAAAGGGACAGAAAATCTGTTTGAAGAAATAATAAAAACTTCCCCAACCTGATAAAGGAAAAAGACATCTAAGTCCAGGAAGCACAGAAAGTCCCAAATAAGATGAACCCAAAGAGACCAAAAGTTAGCCCTGGTCAGTGTGGCTCAGTTGGTTGAGCATCATCCATGCACCAAGAGGTCACCGGTTCAATTCCTGGTCAGGGTACATGCCCGGGTTGTGGGCTTGATCCCCAGTAGGGGTGTGCAGGAGGCAACCGATCGATGTTTCTATCTCGCCTTCCCTTCCTCTCTCTCTAAAGTGAAACTATATTTCAAAAATATGCAAAAAGTTAAAGAAACCATAACATTTCTAGAAGAAAACACAGGTGTAAACTCTCTGACATCAGTCTTAGCAATATTTTTTTTAGATATGTCTCCTCAGGAAAGGGCAACAAAAGGAAAAATAAACAAATGGGACTACATTAAAAAAAGTTTATGCACAGTAAAGGAAACCATCAACAAAATGAAAAGAAAACCTAATGAATGGGAGAAGATATTTACAAGTGAATATTTGATAAGGGTTAATAAGATCCAAAACATATAAAGAACTCATACAACTCAAAACAAAACACAAACCAAACAGTCCTATTAAGAAATGGGCAGAGAAGCTGAATACACATTTTTTCAAAGAAAATATACAGACGGTCAACAGACATATGTAAAGGTGCCCAAAAATCACTAATCATCAGGGAAATGCAAATCAAAAAAACCCCAATGAGATACCACTTCACACCTGTCAGAATGGCTGCCATCAATACATCAACAAGTGCTGGCGAGGGTGTGGATAAAAGGGGACCCTTGTGTGCTGTTGGTGGAACTGCAGACTGGTGCAGCCGCAGGGAAAACAGTATGGAAGTTCCTCAAAAAAATAAAACTGCATATGATCCAGCAATTCTACTCCTAGGTATTTATCTGAAGAAAACACTAATTTGAAAAGACATGCACCCATGTTCATTGCAGCTTTATTTACAATACCTAAGATATGGAAGCAACCTAGGTGTCCAGTGACAGATATATGTGGTATATGTACAAAATGGAATATTACTCAGCAGTAAAAAAGAATAAAATACTGTCATCTTTGACAACATGGATGGACCTGAAGGGTAAATGCTGAGTGAAATAGGAAAAACAAGTACCATATGGTTTCACTTACACATGGAATCTAAAGAACAAAATAAATGAACAAAACAGAAATAGACTCATAGACACAGAAAACACACTGATGGTTGTCAGAGGAGAGAGAGGTGGGAGGATGTCAGGAAAAGGTGAAGGGAAATAAGAATTCTAAACTTCCAATTAATAAAATAAGTCAGAGGGATGTAACAGGTAGGACGGGGACAGTAGTCGGCGACATCGTAACGGCTTTGTACTGGGACAGATACTATACAGTGTGGTGGTTGCATCGTCAGGCACATATGTGGAATCCCTGTGTTGTGCACCTGTAATGTACTGTATGTCACCTGCACTTCAATTAAAAAGAACTGATTAGTAAACAGATATACACTCTTCAAATACAAAGGTCTAAGAAGTTAAACCAAGCACTTAACTATTTATTACATCCTATCATTTATTTTACTGTGTATGCTGGATGATACAGAATAAAATGCTGTTGTGGGAGGGAGGCTGCAAGGGGTGTTTTGGAGGCAAGATCCCCAGCGTAAAGAAGGCCCACAGAGCCGACATCGAGAGAATGATTCCTTCTTTTATTGTGTACAGTGCTGGTTCTATAGACTATAGCAAGCAGTGCACCAGTGTCGCATGCGTAGTTGCATCATGCTGAATCATCACTACATAAGGCACCAGCATGCGCACGTGCAGGAGGGTCAGGGGCGTGGACGAGACACCGAGACCTACCCTTACCCGACACACCTGACAAACGCAGCCTTTACTTGTTGAAGTAGATGACATGGTTTAACTTGACGCTTCAGGCTGGTTTACCTACCATAAGCTATTCAAGTGTATCTTAATCGATTTTAGTTTCATACTGTCATGTTAAATCATCTCTCAAAACTGTCCAGTTGAAGGCCACCTGGAAAAATGTGGATCTCATACCTTGCAGGTTTAAAAAAAAATCATTCCTATAAAACAGTGCTGCACAACCATTTTAGGAGAAACACTGAGAAAGTTTAAAAGGCAGAGGTAAAGAATGTTTTGAGTTTAAATGAAAGACAACACAAGTACTGATCGTTCATCCTACCACATACGGGGTGATTCACTTTCAGAAAGTCAAACTACTTGATATAACTGTTCATTAAAATGTTTTTCCTAAACATCCAGCAGAAAGTTAAACCCAGGTACGATTTTTGTGGTTTAGAGTGCACACACCTGCCATCCACTCGATGAAGAGGTTGTAATTGCTCTTCTCACAGGTGGCCCCCAGCATCCTGATGATGTTGGGGTGGTTCAGGTGGCTCATCATCCTGATCTCCTCCCTCAGCGCCTCCACCACCTCCTCCTGCTCCGACGACGTGTTTCTGACGTACGTCACCTGTGTCAGTAAACGCATTTACAGAGTTTCCATTTGGATGAGCTAATATGATGCAAGTGGACAAATTAGCTTCTACGTTATATTAACAGCAGGTGGCATTTATGCTAACGGGCACAGGGTAGATACTTCACCCAGCGACGCTCTTAGATAACAAGAATCTAGCGTTAGAAGCAGTGAAATATCAGGAAAATTACCAAAAAAGGGACATGGCCAGTCCTCCAGAACTGTCTGAAGACAGAGTAAAAAGTGAGAAAAGCCCAATTCTCACTTGGAGAACATGATTTAAAAGCGAAAGCTCTAAAACTTTCATTTCTTGATCCATACGCTCATGCTAGACAGTGAACCACAGCGACCCCGGGATGACCTTGCACCGTAACCCTGCTGAGAAGTGTGAAACCACAGCCCTGAGCATGACAAGCGCAACCTCAGTGCAGCCCACAGAAGCCCACCTGAGGCCACGTCCAGCAATTGGGCTTCGACTTTTAACAGAACCCACGGTGCATGGCAACACCGACTCTGAAGTTTAGGTTTCTGAAAACTTAGGCATATACACACAAGGACATCCTTTATTTGCTCGAGCTGCATCGCACAGCTTTAATCGTTTCTATCCTCACCAGACACTTGCCTGTTTAACAGCCATTAAGGTCCCAGTTCCCACGTCCTGAGCCTGGTAACAGGAAGAGAAAGCCCCGAGGCCGATCTGCTGCCCCTTCAGCCAGTCCGTGTCCTCTCTGTAGGGCAGTTTCGCTTTGGTGTGTCCTGGCAGAGTCTCCGGTGTCTGCAGGGTAAAGGAAAGCAGCTTTTACTGTTACATTAGAAGAGGAAGAGTGTGAAATGAGCCTGGCAAATATCACTCGTGTTCAGTCTGGCTTCCCGGACCACCGATAACCTGGACTCCTGATGGACAGGGTTGGTGACCAGTGTCAAAGGCAGACTGGTCACCATGGACAAGATCAACCAGAAACGTCTCTGAAACAGACAGGAGCTTCCTTTCCAACAACAATATAGACACTGTATGATTCTACATGGAAAACCCGCTTCTAGCGATGAGCTCAGGCTACAGGAGCAGGTGCGCTACGCTGACTGGGTGGCCCAGGGCACGCCTGCCCTGCCCAGCACCACTTACGTCCTGCTGGATGATGACGACGTCCTCTCCCTTCTCCACCTGCAGCTGGGGCACCGTGGGGAGGGCGTCCTGAGATGCGGACAGCGCCATGGCGATGGCTAACGCCTCCTCCTCCTCCGCCTCCATCTTTTCCTTGCACTTCTGATTGTGACTCACGTCCTCTTTGTAGGTGTCATCACTTTGATCCTTCTCAGGAGAGAGGACAGCAACTTCCGACTGAAACGTCACGGTGGCATCGCTTGAGGGCATGGAGGCCTCCAGAAGGTCCTCAATGCTGGAGGTGAGCTCGGTGCTGACATCCAGCCTGCACTTGTCGTCCACGGGGGTGAACACCGTCTCGTCGCTAGGGATCACAGCGCCGCCACTTTGGCTGCCGCCACCAAAGCTGTCGCCACCTTCGGATGCACTGCTCAGGTTGAGCATCGTGCCAGTTGCAGAGGTGTCTCCCTGTCCACCCGTGTGGCCTGGGGAGGGGCGGGATGGCTTTGGCCTGTGTATATGACTGGAGGGCAGGGGCCTGGCCTGGGTGAAGATTGGGGAGAGCTTGTCTGAGTCTTTGCTTTCGGGACAGTTTCTCTGGAACTGCAGGGAAAACTTGCGCTGAGTCTGGGGCGAAGCAGAGGGTGCTTTGCAGGGAACGAGGCCCTGAGGTCTGTGCTTGGAGGTGTCTGCTCCAGGGCCAGCGGGGACAGGCGGGGTGGAGGAGGCCGGGGACACCAGCTGGGAGTGAGGGGACACGGGAGAGGAGGTCAAACACTGACTGTGGGGCCTGCCTTTCGTCTGAACCGCTGGCTTTGGCCGCTCCATCGTCGCTGAGCTAGGAAGTCCGACGGAGATGCTGGCCAGCCTGTCGGAAATGTCCTCGGAGCTGGCACTCAGCCCCGTGGCCCGCAGCCCTCTTCCAGTTTTCTCTGCATGGTCTGTGCACTGAGGGGGGCTGTCCTCTGGGGTTTCTGGATGGCTCTTAGGGACAGAAACCTGCAGAAAGCTGTCCTGCCAGCTGTCCAGGGTGTCCCCTAGGCCCAGCTGGATGGCCTCGGCGATGTCCACCTCCTCTGCGATGGCCAGCAAACGGCGTCGCATCCTGGCAAAGTGGGCAGAGCTGGAGACACTGAGCATTTCTAACAGCTTTGAAAACACGTGGGGAACGGCGGTGACCATCCGCGCAGAGCTCAGATAGATCCTCCGGGAGAGCTTGCCGACCATCGAGTGGGGATTATCAATGGACTGCAACGCAAAGGCCAGGAGGGACAGCAGCTTCTTATACCTGCAAAGAGACCCCATTCCATGATACAGTTACTGTAAATGCATGCGAACAAAAAGATGATGGTGACAATTACAGCTCGTAGGTCACAAAAATGATCAAGGTCTGTAAGCTTTTCAGTGAGTAGCCTAGACCTCAGGCCTTTATGTCAGTCAAGTATTAGTAGTTTCTGAGTCTCATGAATCTAAAGCGTGTCCTCCTTGGGGGCTGGGTGTGGAAGGGCAGGTAGGCTGGAGGAGGGAAGTAATACACTCACAGAGGAAAATTACCTGACTTCCACAGGCTCGGCTGGTGGAACCTCGGTGCTGACAATGTGGGGGTAAAACTCAGCAGGAAACTCCAGCAGCAGCCTGTCGATGAGACAGAGGCGGCCCAGGAGCTCCTGCCAGTTGTTAGATTCTGCTTGGTTTCCAAGAATGCAATTTAAGACGTAATCAACACCACCAATACCAATGGATCCTGAGAAAGGAAAGTAGAAATAACTGAAACAGTGGTATAAAAATCTGAAATAAAACGTGGTCAAATGGCATAAGGCCAACAAAAGTGCTCTGAGTTGTATCAGTTTAAGAATTTCTCTTAGATTCATATTCTACTTCTAATGTTAGCTGATTCAAGTTACAAAATACTTAGAGATCCTGTAACTGCCCTATCAGAGGTTATGAGATAGACACTGCTAAGGAAAGTGATAAAACATGTCGATTTTAGGTAAGAAGTTGTTACCAGCTTTAAGGATTTCTCTGCCAACTGCCAGCTCCCCCGCCTGGCCCTTGCACAGCTCCAACAGGGTCGACACAGACAGCTGGCTTGTGCGGCTGGAAATGAGAGGAAGTGGCTCAGACCCGGGTCTTGGGTGAAATGTCCATTAGAGGGGGGCAGCAGGTGATGCCTCGGGAAAGGGGGAGACACCCCTAGGAGCATCTGCTTCTCTACCACTGAGACTGCATTAACAGTGTCTCTAAGAATGGTGTTCATATTGGGTCTAATTTCACACCCTTTACCTCACCCTCTAGGTACACACAGGATCCTCACTACTGGCTCTCAGACAGCGAGTGCCGACTTCAACATCCAACCAGGTCAGACAAAAGGCTTATTTTCATTATGACATCTTGTTAAAATAAAAAACTTCATATTCTCTTATATAGCCAGAGTGAGTTCCAAATATCCAAATCTCTCTACAGTATTTCTTATGATGTTCATTCAAGCAACCAGGTAACCTGATTTAAAATTTTAGAAAGCAGACAACCCCATAAAGGCCACAGACTTCTCAGAACAATGCCTGTTTTGTGTTGAATACCTGACTTTCCTACACATTTCACCAACTGTCCACTTGCCTGACGTTTTCAGACTGCAGACTTGGCCTTGTTTGCAGGTGTAGTCGCTGTCCTATATAACTCACTCTCTGAAGTGAAGGTATACCGTATAGGCATGTACACAGCTAGTGTTCTCATCAGCTGGTCTTCAGACAAGAAAGTCACTTTACAACAAAGGGGACCCACCAGGGTGCAGCTCTGGGCACGCCACGACCCCTCCTTCCTGACGAGCCTCGATGAATGTGCATCAGACACTCACTGGGTCTGTCCTGGTTATCAGAGGGTCTCAGTCTCACCTGTTGGCATCTGCACACTTGACCAGGATGGTGTCCACCACCGGCCGGAGGAGCCTCTGCAGTTTGATTCTTTCCGCCAGGCTGTGGCAGGGAGTGTACACCAGCATGGCCCGCAGCGTTTTCTGGGGGACAAAACAGGAGGTCAGCATAACTACATTTAAAAACATCAGACAACAAGCTCATCTGAGACAATCTGAGAAACAAAATAATGAAGAACAGATTATAACCCATAAATACGAATCCAAGAGACAAATAAGTGAGTAAATAAATATGTAGATGGGGTAGAAAGGAACCCTGAACTATTTCTGCCATTTTTTAAAGTCTGAATTAATTACAAAATGAAATGTAAAAAAAGTTACTTTAAGATGAGAACAGGAGCCAACCTCATAGAGCCCTGTGGCCAGAGCAGGAGTAATGGAGCAATGAGACAGACAACGAGGGAACTAGACTCAGGATGTAATGGGCAACTGGGGACATCTGCATGTGGACTTTACCACAGTACTGTCATAATGCTACGTGTCTCAAGTCTGCTGACTGCGCTGTGGTTTTATGGAAGAGCATCTTCCTGAAGAGAGACAGTCCCAGCTACTGAGGGGAGTGTCACGATGCCAGCGGGAACCCTCAGATGGCTCAGCAGACAGTTACATATGGGGAGAGTCCAGGCAGGAGCCACTCCTGCCCCACGAAGATGGACATTACTCGACGGTGGGGGATTGGAAAAGAGCACAATTCCTGCACTCCAGCAACTCACAGCTACTTGGGACACCACCTGAACCTGAGAATAGCCAACTAGGCAGTGGACTGAGCAGTCAGGTAGGCCTGGAGGTCTGTGCTGGAAAGAGTGGGGAGAGGTCAAAAGTTGGGCCAAGAACACTGGTCTTTATTCTACGGAATGCTGGTCTTTATAATATTCTACAGTAGCTGGTCCTCCCAGATGCCACGAGAAACAGACCTGGTGAGATAATCTGGGAAAGGATGCCCCTCCCCAGGTCGTACAGAGACTCTTGCTGTCTATGGCTCATCAGAGGTGACTGGGAGCCTGTCCATGAAGAGACCAAAGCACCCTCATGTGACTCAGTGCTCCCCAGTTCTAAGGGGGCTCAGACTCTCTCTTCAGGGACTTCCATCACCCTGCCAACCTGCACTAAGCGTGCTTCAGGAAATGCTGCCCAGCAAGAGACCGCGTACCACATCGGAGCCGGGGACGGCCAAGTTGTGTTTCAGGGGTACGGGGCTAGTCTGTACTCAGTGTTCCTATATCACAGCCAGAGGCTTCTACCTCAAACCTAGAGGCAGCACTTTCATCATTTCACAGGTGAGAAAGCTGAAGTCCAGGAGACTACAGTCACTGCCGGCACACGGGAGACCCAGAACTTGATCAAGGTCTCTATAATCTTGACCGTGTCCACACTGCCCAGGCCAGTCCAGGCAACTAGCCAATTATTCAAGTGTCTTGTTTTGATGCTAAATTATGAGGTCACCCAATTCTGACTCACGTTCATAACCTCATGGTGTGTTCCTCAAAAAGAAGATTCATTAGGCCCGGCTCGTTCAGGATGGGTCAGAAAAAGATTGCACATGGAGGCAGAGAAAATAATGAATTTTAAAACCAAACTAAGGAAGAATTATTCTAAAGCATTGGTTCTAAACTGGGGGCCATCCTGACCCTCAAGACATTCAGCAATGCCTGGACACATTCCTAGTTGTCATAACTGGGGAAGGAGAAGGAGGTTGGGGAAGGGGAGAGGGTGCTACTGGGACCTGGCAAGTGGAGGCCTGGGATGCGGCTAAACATCCTACATTGTACAGGACAGCTCCTGCTTCCTGCAAGTAACTGTCTGGCTCCACAGTATTAAGGCCAAAACACCCTGTTCTCAACCCTGTTGTGTACTCGGGATGGAAAAATAAAATCAGCTTCCAAAACTGCACACAGCCTCTTCGCCTTTCCCTCCCACTCACCAAAGATAACTTCTAATGGGTTCAGCTAGAACAACTCTGTAGTAACCTGCCTTGGAGCCCTCTTTTGTGAGAACAGGCCTGAATTTATGTACAACAGTGTTCACTAAAGACCAGTTCTCCTTCATGCCTATTAATATCAAATTAAAAAGAATCAGAGTGACTGATCACTGTGATTTCATCCACGATGTACCATTACCTTGGCCATGGTGAGGTAAGGAAAACAAAGAAGCAGGAACACAAGACATGGCTATTCCAGAGGAGAGAGCAAACAGCATGAGAGAGACTGAACAGTCTAAAATAAGCAGAATCCAAACAAAGAGATTAAATGGAAAATGTAGTTTCCCAGGATTATGGAATAGAAACAAAATTTGGGTTTTCCAGAGTTATATTAGGTGAAGTTTTACTGGACCTTAAACATGGTATCTATAAATGATCGACACTGCCCACCCCTGATGCATGGCGATGAGTGAAGCTACTTACTAAAGCAGCAACGTACACTTTGTAGACAGGGTCGGCACAGACCATAGACAGCACGCTGCAGCAGGCGCCCACCACGTCCCCGGGCGCACTGGGCGGGGAGGGTGCACTGGCGGCCCCCGGGCTGCTCCGGCCCCCGCCCGCGCCCCCCGAGTGTCCGGTGCTCTCCCCGTGGGCCAGCAGCAGCGCCCCGCTGACATCATGGGAGAGACGCCGGAGAGCCATCTCCCGGATGTTCCAGTTTCTGGAAAACAAGCAGCCGACGAGCTCCATCCCGAACACCTGCAGTCAACACACAGCAGCCTCGGTGTGAAGAAACCAAGCGGGCCTAAGGCATCCCGAATTAGGCGTGGATTCTATTACTAAGGAATTGGGCACTGCCTAAACCTTCACTGGACTACACAGTTTCAAATGTGTCCAGCACCTAAAAATCACGAGAAGGGCCCTGGCTGGGTGGCTCAGTGGGTTGGAGTGTCGCCCATGCACCAATGGTTGCAGGTTCGATTCCTGGTCAGGGCACATACCCAGGTTGTGGGTTCGATCCCGTCAGAGTGCGTACGGGAGGCAACTGATAGAGAGAGAAACGTCTTTCTCCCTTAGTCTCTCTAAAATCAATTTTAAAAAGTCATAAGAAGGAATTTCACACTCAGGTTTAACTGGTAATTATCAAGGGTCCTGAACGTCACCAGCTTAGGTAAGTGAAGAGTGAACTCTGGTGCACAGCTGGGTGTGTGTGTACACTCATGCCCACACTCCTCTGCTTCACCACAGAACAGAACACCCCAGAGATGAGCCCCAACCCTGTGTTCGTGTTGTGGGAGTTTACAGAGAAAAACTGAAGCAAGGCCAGGAAGAGCCACATCAGGAAGGGCACGGCGGGAGGCCATGGCATTTCTTCCACAGGTGACAGTGGTAAGCAGACAGCGTTTACTTGATTTCTGTCTTGTACGCAAAGGTTAAAAAACTACACAAAACGGGGGCACTGTAACTAACGAGTGGAAAAACCAAGATGGAAGGAAAAGTTTTTGTGTTCAGATCAGCTGAGGGTGAGAAACGGAGAACTCACCTGAATCCAGGGCTCAGCCAGGTCTCTGTAGGCAGGAGGCACCTGCTGAGCTCCATAGTGAGTGAGGCTGAAGCTGCTCTCCTGGCTCCTGCGTTGTGATGGGGTCGGCTGGGCCGCCCGCAGGGAGGTGGGAGAGTCCACAGGGCTGGACAGCTCGTGACTGAGTGAAAAACCAACAACTTGCTAAAGGTAACTGGCAGGTCTGATTAGCACTGAGAACACTAGTTTTCTATCTAATACATCCACTCACTGAAAACACCTACCTGTAGAAGTCATGGGACCTCCACTTGGACCTGCAGAGGGGACATATCAGAGGTTCTCTGTTTCTTCTACATTCTTCTGCCCCTGGAAAACCAAACCAAACTGTATCACACGTTGTCTGTGTGACCACTGTTCACAATGGCGAGGGCAGGGTCAACACACGGGGGACCTCGGGGAATACTGTGACCTAACGTTTCCCCGAAAGCAGGCAAATGCAGCAGGTGATTCTCACGGTCATCCCCTTTGCAAAGGCCATCTTACTAGTTATCACGTGGGCTTTGTTACTGTGTCAAACCGTCTGCCCTCAATGATCTGGCTCCGTTCTTCCAAACCTCGCCGCTGTCTCTGCGACGCCTGCCCAGGCTGCCCTGCCCCACCCTGCGCCTTCTAGATCACAATTACCTTTCGACTCTCTGCACTCCCTCCGTCTCTTCCTAAAAGCCATTTAAAAGTCCTAAATAATATACAGTTGACCCTTGAACCACACGGGTTTGGGGTGCTAACACCCCCTACCACAGCAGAAAATCTGTGTAACTTCTGACTCCCCTGAACACTGAGCGACTGGTAGTGACTGCTGACTGAGCCTCATGGCGCCACAGCCCGTCGGTCAGCACACAGTTCATGGTGCGTGCGGGACCCACTGTGCGCTCAGTCATGTTGGCTAGAGGAGTGCGCAAACGCGCTCACAGGATTCCCTGGAAGACACCCGGGGCGAGGGGCCTGCGCAGCTCAACCATGTGTTACTCAAGGTCACTGGCTATCGTGTGCTGGGCCCGGGGCCACCTACAGATGGACATGCAGTGGTGGTGCAGCTTGTTCCTGCAGCCATCCTCGCACACAGTCAGGCTCTCCTCATCCAGCATGCCCAGCAGGCAGATGGGGCACATCTGCTCTTCTTCATCCTTGACGCTGCAGGGGACAGGGACAGGTGTCAGGTCAGCACAGTGAGGGGACAAGGACAAGCATCAGGTCAGCACGGAGAGGGGACAGAGACAGGTGTCAGGTCAGCACGGCGAGGGGACAGGGACAGGCATCAGGTGAGCGCAGCGAGGGGGCCGGGACGACAGTGGACAGCACAGCGAGGGGATGGGACCAAGTTAATGCCACAGCTAAATCGCTTCAGAATACGAAACAAGGGACATTCTTGTTGAGGAGCATCTTGTATGTAACTACTTGAGAAATATTTATGTCTCCTACTAATCTATAGTAATTCTACATCAAACTCACACCACTGTGTATCTGCACGTTGTGGGTGTGAGTTCACCTTTCCTGGCTATGAATACAATTCATGTAGAAACTACAACTTTAGAGAGATGAGCATCCTGAAATTCTGCTCTGGCCCCTTCTGAATAAACAAACTGCTGTAAGATGTGACTATGGCCCGCATGCCCACCAGGCCGGGCTTCGAGGGCGCAGGGACCTCTGGTCCAGCGAGCCCACGTCCAAGTGTGAAGGCCCTTCCACACGCCTCTGTGGGGCGTATAAACTGGTCCAACTTTCCTTGAAACAAGTACATTTACTAGATCAACAAATGCAAACGTTTTATTATTTACTTATTTTAGTCTTTCATTATTAGGTCAACTGAACCATTTTCATGTTTGTTGGCCCTTTAAATTCTTTTGTGAACAGTCTTTTCATCTTTGCCCATTTGTGTGCTGGAACCCTAGGTTCCAGTGTGCAGGTTTTATTTTTTTGATAATTATTTTTAAAGTATATTCAGTTTGTCCCAATTCTTTTTATTGCTTCTTATATACCATGAAGGTTAACACAATGCAATCAGACACCCAGGTAAGTTTCCTTTTTTAAAGTCTGAGATGACAGGGAACATGAATGCACTCACCCACACAGTACTGTCTGTCTGTCAGGACCACACCCTCTGTGGTTCCCCCCGACACACTAATGCAAACGACCTAGTAACCCCCCAGCTGCGGCCAGCAGCATCTAGGAGGCACTGTTGTTTACCTTGGAGAGAATGCTTTGACTTTAACTCTGGCTTGCCTGGTTGTAAGCATTTGTTATTTTTTCCAAAATAAAAAGCTACAGAAATGTCCATCAAAGGGGATAGGCTCTAGGATGAGTCTGGGCAGGAAGCATGAGAAATGAAGCTTATTTTTCATCCCACTTAGGAAAGACGGGTAGGAGAGAGCCTTGAACTAGAAGTCAAGACACTTGGTGTGGTCCTGCCTCTGCTCAGACGAGCCGCGGGATCTCTTTGGCCTCACTTATCATTGACCCATGTAAACTAGAAAATCTCTACTGTCCCCAAACTCATAAAACTCTGATTCTAAGATCAACTCATTTAATCAGAAATAAGAAAATAGAAACATTTACTTTCTCCATAGATGACAAAACCTCTGGCTACACAGTACCACTTCCTTCCTTCCTGAATCTGAGGTAGTCACAGCACTTGCAAGGGTGATGGGTGGAGGCGGGACCTCCTCCACTGAGGCCAGGGCTCCACACACCAGGTGCCCGGGGAACCTACGGGAGGTGCCCTCCTAAGAGAGCCAGCGCTCCTTTCCACATCAATACCAATAAAGAAACCAGTAAAGGAAACCAAAGAAGCAGCCCTGGAGAAGAAAGTAGATTTGCAGGTGTCTCCTGAGGATACTGGAGACCCACACTGCGGAGGCAGTGGGGAGCCGCTGCACGACCTCTGGCTCTTTTTTTGCTGCTTTTCATTTTAGCATGACAACCCTGTGATGAGCCGGCGCGGGAAGATGAGGCTCCCTGGTCAGAAAGCACTCACACCGTCACTGGGGGGAGCAGAGGCCAAGATGGACAGTGCTGCTGCCAATGGTGGGACTGGTCCGAGGCACGTCTGGTGGCAAATGGGCACACATGGCACATGGACCGGCACGTGGCACACGAGAAGGGAAAGTGGGAACTGGACAGGTGGTCTGGGCTGTTTGCAGGAGCCAAGTGGGGCTCTGAGGACAGGATAGGTGGCTGCCCCTCACCCACAGGGTCCCCAGGAGTCAGAGCCGACTCACTAGCACAGAACACACAGAGTGACCTCGGGTCATGCATTCGCTCTTATTGGCAACTACACAGTGGAAAAACTGAGGTGTGCTGCAGACTTTACGTACAACTGACCAACAGCTGCTGTCTCTTTAACTGTAACTGCTACTTGCCTAGAGGAGCAAGAGCAGTTTATGTTCTCAAGTGAGGCCTAGAATGAGGGTCCTGAGGTTCCCATGGAAGAGGTAGTGATGTCAGAGCTAGACATTCACACAGCCTCAGCCTCATTACCTGCAACAGTGGTCAACCTACCTAAGAGGCTGTGTACAAACAGGTGAGCCACATCCGTAGATGGTTGACCCCAAGTAATGACTAATAGCAGCCACTTGTAGTTTATACCTGCCACACTTCCCTTGTGAAATGCACATTTATGACATTCTGATAGGAAGGAGCTGTTTCTCAACACTAGTTTTCAGGACAGAATGTCCCTATAGATGTATGTGTGTGTGTGTGTGTGTGTGTGTCTTTATACATACACATGCACACACACACTCGTATGACCTTTAATAACTTTTACCCTTGATTTTGACTCAAAAGCCAAGATGCAATAGATAAATCATTTTAGAGTAACTTAACAAGTAGATATAAAAAATTACCCCTTAAGTTAAAAAGTACCACTGGGTTAACGCTTTAATGCCTTGAAAAGTACCAACCTGTTTTCTGAGCTAGACGTGGAAGCACTAGTTGATGACAACGTATGAGAGTTGGACATGCGGGAGACGAATTTCTGGATGGTGCTACGAGATGGAGCCTTGATCCGAGAGCTACGGCGACTGTGATATTTCTGGAACAAACTCTCAACCTAACATTGAAAAGAGACAGTAACAATGACACTTGTGGTGTGATATACACACACACAGTCCTAGAGGGTGAATTGTCTGTCCTTTGTTTTAAAGATTTCCACAAAGCGGCTTCAGAGATTCAGAGCTAAGCATACTCATAGCTTACTCAGGACGACATTACTACAGCCGGTCAGTGCTGTCTTGTTTTTCAGACTAGAAACGAATTCATCAGTGGCCACAAGAGAACTGTCTACACCCCCAAACCTTCCAAATGACCCCTGTATACTTAAACTGAGAGCTCATAGGAAATGTTTAGAAATATACCATAAAAATTTGTTGACAATTTTACTGTAAAGCGTTTAAAGTTACCTCAAAGTTCTTCAAAGTCTTTCTCCACAGCATTGGGTCTGAAGGCTCCAGCTGGAACACCCGCAGCATAACGAACAGCAGGTGGATGCAAAACGCCCCGCGCCCACAGCTGCAGTTCTAGAGGGAGAGCAACACGGGTCATGGGGCTCTGCGAGAACTCCCCAGTCACTTAAAAAAATATTCCAAGTTTATTCCACTCAAGTTTCTATTAGTTAATACACAAGAAAAGTCTACAGCTGTCTCCAAAACATCTCTTACTTTGGTGAGTTTATTAAATAGATCCAATTTGTATTCTAAAGCATATTAACTCATAGTAAAAACCTTTATAAATACATTAAAAATATTAGCCTAAGCTATACTTTAAAGTCAGTCTAGTTGACTGAATTTCAGAATGCTACAGAGCAGGAACCTGAGCTAATGGCAGGCACAGTGAAAGACGTGGTGACAGACCTGTGGCCCGATGAACACGCGGTACTTGTTGTCCGGGCTGTCCCCTCCGATCAGGAAGGAGTTGGGGCCGATCTGCTGCAGCAGGTACAGCCGGGCCCGCATCACCTTGTTCACCCGGCGACTAGTCTCCTCGGGGCTGTACGGGGAGAAGCCGTCGGGGGACGGGGCTCTCCGAGGGGGCGTGGTCCTTCCACTCTGAAACTGCGCAACACGGTTTCATCAGGAAAATGGCTGGCTTCTCGAAAGAAACAATTATCCCCAAAAGGTCCCATCAGCCAGCCACATGGCATTTCACCGTCTGAAAAGGTGCCTTAGTATTTAACATAATGGGATGATAGACTTTCAAATGCTCTTGTCCCAAATACGCATCACGAGTAAACGTCTAAATCTCAGCCCCCCCATAACCAGTGGTATGCCCTGGCCGAGAGACACCTGCATGTAATATTACAAATTATAAATATCCGAGTGCTTTGAAGAGAACCATGTAAACCAAAGTAAAAAGCATAAAAAATTCACCTCAAAATGAATTATTTCTATTGACTTTGAACACCCAATTCCTGGCTCCACTCCAGGTCTGCTCTTCTGCAGCTGGTAATGTACAAACCACTAGTGGACAGTGACTTCCCAGACTGAGTCGTCTCCCTGGAGGCTGGCGGGTACTCTCCTAGTGAGGGTGACACATGTCCCTCCACTGCGTCCCGTAGGACGTGGTCTTCCTATCAGTGCCTCGTGGAAATTCTAGTTCTTTGTGATGCCTGACTGACTAGTTAAAGATCAGAGATGCTGCTGTACCGTCTCAGTGGTGATACAGAGTTCTGGTAAAATACATGAAAATCTTGCCTCACATGGACACGCAGCTGGAAAAGGTACTTTAATAGCCTTTCAAATAACTGTGAACATTCCTCTTTGATGCTACACCAGAGAAGTGGTTTCTCAAAGGAGACTGTGATGTGGAACCTGAAACCCCGTCAACAAACTCCCTGCTGTTCTGTTCACGTCCAGGTGGAGTCGCTCACACCCTGAACGGGCCCTTTACCCAAGAGAGGTTCTGTGTCACTACAAGCTGGGCATTTGGAAAACACTGGCTCCCTGACCAGCAGGTCCTCCCAGGGCTCACGCATCTCACCGTGCAGAGTGTAAAAACAGAACCCCATTCGACACCATCACCATCTCAGATAGTGTCTAACTGGGGAAGCTGTAAAGCTGACGGGTGGAATGAGGTTTCCAAAATTCTCATGTTTGCTTGGTCTCAAATTTTACCTGGTGAAAAAAACATTTCCACTGGTTCTTTGAAGTGAGTCTCACTCACTTCACCAGAAGGACAATGCCTGTCAAGTACTAAAGTGAGGGCAATGGTCTCTGTTGGCACAGCTCTGATTCTGGCATTGCACCAGCAGCTCCACCCGCCGCTGTGAACATCAATGCAGCCAAAGAGGCAAATGACCAACAGACCCCACAGAAAGGGACTCAGGAACTGCCCTGTCCCCAACCCTGGTCTGCAGACCCCACTCTGAGAATCGCTGCGCTCAGGTGGCTGCCGATCTCCTCTGTGCTATAAATGAGCCTGAGGATTACAGAAACTTCACAGGTCGGCTCCAACATGAACTTACAGGCACCGGGGACGCTCTCTTCCTCCTCACTCCCGGAGACTCAGGCCTCACCGTGCGCCCAGACGGGGAGCCAGGGGATGGACTGCGGCCTTTGGGAGCTGGAGACGCCGGGCTCGCCTGGGCCTCTCCTTGCGCCTCAGCTGCCAAGTTACTGATTTCAGATCCGTCTCCTTTAACAGGGATTGGCTTTACCACCTGAATGAAATTCCAATATTTTGATTACATCAGGAGGGATCTGATGTAACTTACATAAAACAAACAAAACCAGACCCCCGCAAGCAGACTACAACCTTCTTGGGGATGAAGGGAAATCTGTGTGGGTAAGATGAGCTCCCTCTTCGCCTGTCCTGTACAGATAAACAACTCAGGGATTTGCTGGGGAAGGGACAGTGAGAAAAAACAAAATTTGGTTGTAGGGAACTCGATGTTCCTAGTTCATATGTAACAAAGGATCCATAGTTGGCTTCCCTCTTTTCTAAGACAAGTCCTTGATGTGTCCGTCTTCACCCCCTGACGTGACTGCTAAAGTGATGAGGGCTGTTTCCCAGCTACGTACTTTGTGTGAGGAAGAAACAGGAGACGTGGAAACTTCTCTGGAAAGGGAAAGACTCGTAGTAATGTGGCAGGTGAGAGTCAGTATATAAGGGACAGGCAGCTGGAATCTGAATTGTGCTAATGTGGCAGGTGAAGGCCGGTACATAAGGAACAGGCAGCTGGATTCTGAATTGGCTCCGTGGGTGAGAGCGGTGGGTGGAATGTGCAGGACAGACCATGGCCCCCAGGGAGGAGTGTCGGAACCTCTGCTGAGACGGCTGAGAGGTCAGTCAGTGCTCGATACGTAGAACTTTCTGAGACGACAGGAATGTTTTCTAACCACACGGTCCAGTCCCAGGAGCCACTGGCCACATGGGCCATCAAGCATTTGAAATGTGGCTACTGTGACTGAGGAACGACATTCTCACTTTTACTCCTGTTTAAACGTAAACAGGCACATGGGATGAATCCAGGGCTAATCATTTGGTGGGGCTGTAGGTCGGGTTTCAAATATCAAATGAATCATTTGCTCAGTAACTTTTATGATTCTAGCCACTTCCTCTGGTCTTCTCACACACACACACATCAACAAATCTTAAATGGCCATCTCTGTTTATAAAGAAACAAACCCGTGGTGCGATCTGACCCCGGTCACTGTAGCCACTGAGACCCACTCCTTCCTCTGAGACTGAGGAAGAACATTTCGTAGATTTGATTGAAAGGCATGGCGTGTTTTATTGTGCGCGGCTTCACTGTGCTCCATGGATGTTATGCTTTTTACAAACTGAAGATTAGACCCTTGCCCGCAGAAAGATGATGGCTGCCTTATCAGGGTGGTGTGGAGCCGACCCGCCACATCTCCAAGGCCCACCTGTACTAAAAGGGAAAAACCGCGCCCACCCTTCCTACCTGAGGATCTGGGTGTTGTCCCCAAACCCTGGGCATCTTTTAAATTTATCTCAAACCCATGAGTGTACTTAATTTTTTCTGATTTCCTGAAAGATTTATGGAATTAAGATCCTTGGATCCTACCCTAGAGATAAAACATCAAAATAAAATTTGAAAAACTGCTTTTTAAAGTTTAAAGCCCAGTGTAATTCACTAAAGGATTTCAGATGCTGACAGCAGGGGGCAGTGTTGCCTCAAGCATTCCAGCCCCTCAGTTCCCAGCCCACCAGGCAGGGTAAGCTGCTCAGTGAGCACAGGCCTGGCCTTCTGTCCCCAGTGGTACAAGATCACACCAATCACACCTGTGCATCTGAACTGACGAGTCACCAAGCTCCCAGGAGGACCCACAGATGCCCCTTCCTCCCAGGCCCCCTCACCACGGGCAGGTCCCACTCACCACGGGGCCCCTGCGGCTCCTCCGCTCCAGCCACTCGTGCCTCCAGGCTGGCATGCAGGTGGCCTTCAGCTTCTCCCGGATCATCCGCTCCTCCGGCCGGTCCTCCATCTTGTGTAGCCCCCGGAGGGTGTCCCTGCTGTCCATCTCCCGGCTGCAATGGGTGGCGACAGACGGTTCACAGATGAGAACACATAAGGCAATATGGGTCTAGTTTATACTGTCCATGGACATGCAACTAAAAAGGCAATGGCTAAAACCCCGGGCGTTTTCAGCAGGTGTGAGAATATCACTGTGGACCACATACCACTCCCTGTGGGATTCACAACGTGGCCAGTGCTGAGTGCTGCCTGGTAACATGAGTTAAATGCCTCTAAACAGGAGGTTCCATTTAGAAGGTGCAGCTGCTACTAACACCAGTACAGACATGCTCACAGGTAGTTTACATGGGTCCTGAAAACTGAGTGTGGCGTCCACACACACGGTTTCTAACGGCAGCACGGACACGCTCCATATATAGACGGATACTCAGGAGGTATTTACGGTTTTTTATCCCCGAATTTCCAGTAATTCAGGTGAATACAGATAGGGTCTGTGGAAATGTTTATTTTCTGAAATAAATGAAACATTTAATAAGCTAGGTGACACCTAAGCATCTTCTATGGCCCCATAATGTTTTGTTCAGATCCTGAACGATTACACTGTGCTCTCAGAATGGTGACCTTGACAGCATTTGGGTGTGCCATGCACCGCGCACAGGACCTGCACACGGCTTTTACAACCTGGGCCTTACGGAAACAATCACAGCAACTGCGCTCTGGAGAAGTAACGGTTTTAAACACTGAGCGAGCTTCAGTAACTATTTTGGAAGCTCTAGGAAGCTACAGAACAGCGATTCTTCTACCCGATAGGAAAAGGAAATACTCAGGGAAATACCAGAGACGAGAACCAGCCCACCAAGTCACACTCGGACTCCTCTAGGAATTTTCCAGCTACTCTAAGTATAAAGCAGCGGTATCTTCAGAGAGCCAGCAAACGCACCGACTAAAAGTAGACCTGCCCTGGGAAGGAAGGAAGGAAGGGCAGCTGCTTTCACTG